GAGAGTGTGTCAGCAAGAGCCTTCAGATCAGGAAACTGGAATAAGTGGGAAGGTCATGGAGAGAAGTGTGGGATTTAAAATGACAAATTATTTAATTTGGGGAGAGGTGGCATTTATCCCAGAGGTAAGAAAAATAATTAGGAAGATCAGCTCTCCCTAATTAAAATAATTTATGGATATAGAAAGGGAAGTAACATTGAATTCTGCATTATTCCAGGTACTTGACTATGCATAATTCACAGGTATTACTTAACACTCATGGTAACTGTACCAGGTAAAATATTGTTGATTCTACTTTGTATATGACCAAAACTGAGGCTCAGAAAGCATACCAGGGCCATATAACTAATTAAAGGCAGAAAAGGGATTTCCATCTAAGGCTAGTTGGGTCTATGAATAAAAGGTTACAATCTAACTTGTCTGGGAAAATGACCAGAGGATCTTGTTTTCTAAGAACTACATAAACAAAATGAATTGTGAAATATTTGCTAGAAAGAACTACCATAAAATTATTTTTGTTGCTACTTCATAACTGCAATTTTGCTACTGTTAATGAATTGTTATGTAAATATCTGTCTTTTCTGATATTCTTAGCCTAAGACTCTTAGGCAACCCTGCTAGCAGTTATCAGCCTGTGGGTCACGACCCACAGGTTGAGAACCACTGCTGTAGAGCCTAAGACCATCAGAAAACACAGATTTTACATTATGATTCATAACAATAGGAAAATTACAGTAATGAAGTAGCAACAAAAATAATTTTATGGTTGGGGATCACCACAACAGGAGGAACTGTATTAAAAGGTCTTGGCATTAGAAAGGTTGAGAACCACTGCTCAAAACCAACTGAAGAGTGATGCTGGGATTAGCCAAGCAGAAAATAACACCTCTGTTACCATTGTCAAGAAGTTCAAATGAAGTGGATTAAAGCCAAACTAATTGGTTTGTAAATGTCATTTTGAGGTTACAAATATTTCTTATAAGCCCGAGTGTTCATCAAATTTGACTCTCAACATTAATTTTTCATTCTAAAGTTACCTTGGCTAAAAGGTGAGGGCTTTCCATGTTATATTGCATATCCCAAATGGAAATGACATACTGCAGTAATGCATATGCAAAAGGCATCTACAACATAAACCATTTTTATCCCCCATATTTCTATTCTTTTAAAAAGAACATCTTCACGTTGTTGCTCACAAGGAAAATCTGACAAAGCATTATCTTAATGCAGAAAGTGTCGTGTGGATTGGCAAACAAGCCAATTTGTTTGAAACTTAGGGAAGTAAACAATGCATATGAAAGCAACAACGTACATACCAAACATATCTTATAGGGAAATTGTAATAGAAAGTGAATTATCTGATTCACAATAGGATATATGCTGAAGCATAATAAAGTTGGTATATGCAATACATGAAAACCTCCAAATTAGATTTCAGTTGCTTTTTAATTTATAAAACAATCCAATTAACAAAGCATATATTTAAAATTCTAAAAAACTTTTTTTGGCAAGTATTTCTTAAGCTAAATGTAACTTCAATCCCCTCATAATAAAATCCTCCACAAACATAAAGCAAAGTATTTCATTAACCTCCTAAGGGGCATATTAGATATGAGGTAAAAATGGCTTTGGAGAATAGCAAACATTGTCATGCAGAAGAATCAATATTTAATTAAATAAAAATATGAACTTCTCAATGATAATTACCGCATAAGGCATGAAATAAATGTATGAATCTCCCCTCTTAAATACACTGGAGAGAATATTCTAAGTCTTAGAAGCTATTTGCTATTCTGTCTCAGCAAATAAAAACCCTATGATATAGTTCATGTTTTCATTATCATTAGTATCATCACTTGAAAAATACTGAACAATAATTTTTAAATCAATATTTGGGTATTCCCTAACATACTGGCAGAAACTGATAAGTATGTAAAATATAAAATTTATGTTGAATCTCCATCACAATGGCAGCCATAACATTTTTAATAAACCATTTTATGAGATAGAGTATGCTTTGAACTGGTAGGGAGTCCATACATAGAGTTTTCAGATGGAAGAGTTTATTAACAAAATGAAACCATAAATAGTGGTTTCATCTCTATGAACCAGCTTGAATTTCATATTATATTTGGTTGATTTTTAATTGTCAAGTTGGAGCTATCATAATAGTATTCCTATAGGTCTATATGATGTGCATTTCAACATACACTTCCATTTAGGAAAACATTGAATCAGGTATATCAGGATATTTTATGCTAAAAAATGCATTGTTTATGCAACTGCCCTTTTCTGATTACAGGTTAATCAATCTATACTTTCTGATTTTGATGTGGATACCTATCTAGTTACCCCTACTTCATTGATTCAAAGGAAGACTTAGAGATCAATAGACATTTTATTACATAATGAGAAAAATATCTATTTTAAAGCTACTCTTACTATTTTATGAAAGATAAGACACACACAAGAATAACTACAGCATATATTCCAGATAAGGGGAACTGACTACCACATATAGATGTAATTAAAAACCAAAAAAACTGTTATAGGCTTATCCTTTAAATACATAGACTGCACCTCTTATCCTCAGGGTTTGGAGTACAATATTCTTATTATATTTGCCCTCTCTAACTCAATGGAGTGAGTATGACAAAACTTATAAATCAATATCAGAACTAAACAATAAGATAACCCTCTCTCATTCTGCAGAACAAGAAAATGTGACTGATACAACTTCTTCATCAGAGCTAAACTTGGGACTTCACCTACTGAAGCAACAAAGGTTATAGGACTCAGTGCTCAGCTATGCACTATCTAAAGGAGAAGAAACATTTCTTATGAATTTATCTGAATCCAACTTCAGAAACAAATTTGTATTGTTATACTTTTGCTTCTCATGTACAGGTGCTTGCCAAGAACAATAGATTGATCAGTTAGATATGAATATTATGGTCCTTGGGATAGTTAAATATCTCATTTTAAACTAGTGAATTTCCATTTTGATGGATATATCATTTTTTGAGCTCTTTTAAAGTAAACTCTCCACCCCCCAACACCACCACCATATAGATCTGCTTGGTATAAAATGAGGCAATCACGTTTCTGGGTCTGCAGGATTGAGGATTTGATTCTGGTGGATTATAATTCACCAATGAAAGGCTGTACTCTGAGTCATTTCTGAGCTTTTCACCACCACACAAGGATCTCCTTATTTGGAATTGACTCAATATCCCAAAGACCAGTGAATTACGTAACCCTAATCAGATATCAGCTTGGATTGTAACATAGATAGCAATCCCACTTACACTGTTTCTTCAACCTCTGGCTTTAGAGTGTGGCAAAGCCTCAAGAAAGTGAGAACAGAGTCTGCATTTTCAAGAGTTCAGCAAACAAAAAGTGCTTCAGAGGCCAGAAGGAAAAGAGCTCAGAAGTCATTATCCCTCTAATCCTTGTGTCTGGAGGATATGACCATGTAGCATCTGAGATAAGGATGAAATTTACTTAAGTGGAATATAATCTATCTATCTGTAGATATAGATATAGATATAGATATAGATATAGATATAGATATAGATATAGATATAGATAGATATAGATATAGATATAAGTCTAAGCAACTGTTACAACTGAATGACAAATTGCTGGTCAACCAGTTGCTATGACACACACTAACCACCAGGGGGCAGACACAATGCAGGCATTTCCCCAATGGTCAGTGCACTCCCACAGCAGTAGCGCTGCTCAGCCAGTAGGTGGGCTCATGGCCTCTGCAGCAGAGCTACTGAGAAGAGGCAGCAGGCATAGCAGGGCTGGGGTGAGCAGGAGCAGTGCAGTGCCTGGCCCTGGTTGAGGCACCTCCCCAGCTGCCTGTCGCTTAGTGCACTGCTACATTCCTCATACTCTATAAGCCTGCAGTTAAAATCTCCAAAGAATGGTTGGAGCACAGACACTTGGAGTAACCAGGATGAGCCTGATATCGCTGCCGGGCTCCTAGAACTCTGCTTCTGGCACCAAAATCAAATCTCATCCCTTACTGATTGCCGGGGAGCCACAGAGGAAAGCAGCAATATAACAGTGGCCAAAATGTGGTGACTGACAATCAGGATAAAAGTCAAAGAGATGGATCTGAAGGGTGGGGCGTAGGCAACAGAGCTCCCCTGCCTCCCAAGATCCCCAACTTCATATTGTTCATCTCAAAGGATCTCTTATTTGGCTCTGAGAGGTGGAAAGCATCCAGCCCAACCCAAGTCTCCACTGGGGACCTCCCAGCTGGCAAGGCATGACCCTAGCCACCGAAGGGGCATTTGGAAATATTTTCTCAGGAAGCTGTGGGGAGGAAGACAGACTCCCTATGCAATTTCCCAGCAGCTCATGGGGACTTGGAAACTCCCTGACCATGCAGGTGTGAGATCCCAATTTCCTTTCAATATGCATGAATCTGTGCACCAGGCCCCTAGTAACAATATAAATAGTGTTGTCTGTCAACTAAAGAAGCAGAAAATAATAACCATCCATGGAGGGTTTTCCTCAGAGTGACAAATTATAACAGAAGCAGTGCCAGGAACAGATTTCCTGATTTAAGCAGTAAACTATGGAGTATATGAATGCAATTGGCAAGAGTGGCTAATTAATTATAGCTGATTAATGTATCAAATCTCTTGGTAGAATAAGCAAAACATGAACTTTTTATAATTATTTGGAGTCAATGTACTCTGAATGTACTATTCCTCATCCATGAGGCATATACATTCCAAAGGCATTTATTTTTCCCAAAAATTTTACACTATAGTTTTAGATATTGCTATTTTGGGAATTAAAATCACATAGAACAATTCATAATATATTATAAGAATAAAGAACTTTTTAAATATATCTGGACTACAGAAAAACATATCATGCATAGTTTCTACTTTGGGCCTAGTTTGTGGAAATGTTAAGTCTATGGCAATAAACATTAAATGATATTGAAAAAAGTGAGAGTCCAGAAATATACCAACCTTCAGGATCCAGTAGTTTCTCTATGCCTAATTGAGATTTTGCGATATTGAATGCATGTTCCAGTCTTTGTGCAGCTGACTGCTGGGAAACCACACTATTCCAATCAAACAGGTCTGGCCTAAAACACACACACACAAAGACAAATATAAATCAATTTAGAATGTTTCATAAAGTTCACTTCAATTCTGGTTTTTAATTGGCAACCCATGCCCATAGCCCTTAAAAATTTTTATTCTTCAGTATCCCTCAATAAACTTTTTCACTTAAACAAGGCACAATTTTAATTAAAAATCATGAGGGAAATTAAGCAGAATTCATTCTCTCTTACCCAGGAAACAATAATATGTTGATCAAATCCAATCTCATGGATTTGAATGCCAGTCATTTGTTGGTAACTTCTAATTATATAAACCTAGTCCAGACCTCTTTCCTGAATTCCAGACTCTTGGGTCATCTGCTTACTCATTATCTCCACTTAGAGTTACCATAAAACTCAAATTCCAAAATTGAGCTTCTGATATCCGTCCCCATTACACTCCCTCCTAACCTACCTTCTTCTCTTGAAGTCCTTCCTTTCTCAACAACCAATGACAAATTCAAACTTGCAATATGCTCAGACAAGAGACCTCTGAGTGGACATTGAGGACTCTTTCACTCTCATACAACACTTAGCTGGGAATATCTCCAGAATTTGATCACTCCTTATTATCTTGCTGCCATCACCTTAATCCAGAACCACCATTTTATTCTGCATGAATTGTAATAGCCTTGGCTACCCAACTCCCACACTTGGGCTTGTTAATATATTCTTAGCAGATCCGAGTAATCTGTTAAAATGGTTCATCATCATATTATCCTCAAATCTCTGCTATTGGGGAGTAAAATGTACTGATTTAACAAGGCCCTACATGGTTTGACTCACCATTAGACCCTTGATTTTATTTCTTGCCTCTCTCCTCATATTCCTCAAACAGGCTAGTTTCCTTCATTTGCTGTTACCTCCACTTTGAGTTCTCTGTCCCCATACATCAACATGGTTCACTCCACATATTTTGAGTCTTTACTCCAAAATCACATTATTGGTGACTCCTTCCTTGCCCTCCCACATCTAAAATTGTTGGTTCCCGAATCAAATTTACATACACTTATTTTCTTTCCCTATTAATTGTTCTGCATTTTTCTCATTAGCACTTACTATTTAACATTTTATGTATTTTATTTAATATTCTTTATCTATTCCCCCAGGGGAATGTAGAATACAGAATATGTTTTGCCAGTTTTGCTCACTTCTAGAAACCAAACCTGACACATAATAAGGGTTCGATAAATATTTATTTACTACACCATAAAATGGATGAGAACATACTATGTCAGTATCATTTTACTTGATAACAGAGAAAACACCTACGTAGCATAAGAATCAGTTCTTATCCTATAAGCATTTTACAGATAATGAGGAAAACTGCATGCATCACTGTAAGTTAAATAAATTCTAAATTTGAAAGCTACAGATAAGATATAAGGCTTTTTAACATCTGGCGAGGTCAAGAACACTTTTTAAAGCTTAAAGGAGTCTGAAATGGTAAATTGTGTTTATAGTTAAGAATAGAATTTTAAAATGAATTCTAAGTTGTGTGGATATTAAAGAAACAAAGTTCTGAGGGAAGAAAAATGCACAACGTGCTCAGTCATTCAAGACCTCATAGGCTTGGCTTCACTGGGAGATTTCTAGTATCACGTGGTGGGAGATATGGTTAGGAGGAGGAACTGGGATGAGAATGCAAAGGCTTTACCTATTAAGAAATTACAATTTACCCCAACAACATTGGAAACCATACAGTAAGTGGTCTTTCATCTTTTTTGGATTATAGTTACCCTTGAGAATTTGATTAGTGCTATGCATGTCTACCTAGACAAATAAACTGTCCGTAACTTTACACAGAATTTGCATATAATTTTAGGATATTTGGGTCTGTCCATAGACTCCTGATTAGGAACTCATGCTCTGCAAGACAAGAAAATACAAGGATGGGCTTCCCTCTTATTTTCTAAAACCATAATTCAAAAGAAAGGTCCAATTTTATTTCTCATTTGACTCTCATTTCCTTTTTTTTTTTTTTTATTGTTCCTAGCCTGATTAACTCATCAGAATTTTGTGCACTTCTTTGGAAACCTACTGTCCCCTAAATACCCTAAATATTCCAAGTTACACAAAACTGCTAACAATTTTTTAGAACCTAAAATATGTATAAATTTGGAGCTGCCTCCAGTAGTGGAAGACTATAAGAAATAAAATTTAAATTCTAGAATATTTGGGGAAACGTGAACTGTGCTATGCAACCTCTGTCCATCTTCAGTTTTTCATTTCTCAGTAATGGAAGTGAAAAAGAATATAGGTGGGGGAGTGTGGGAAACTACTTTTCTCTCCTACAGTAAAGTAACCAAGATTAAATGAGTATGATGGGAAATAATAAAATTGTTTCTGTATTCTAACCCTCTTCTCTTGATCCCCTCCCCCTTCTCCTTGGCCACTAACTGAACATGTAAGCAAGAACTTATCTAAGTCATGTAATCTATTTGAACTTCTGTATTTTCATTTGAAAAAGAATGAATTGTATGAAATGGCCTTTGAGGCTTCTTCTAGAATTAAAATTATTCCAATTAATTGTTTTAAACAGTTAAAACTCATCAGTAATTAACATTTTACATAACTATAGTTTTCAAATGTATGAAGAATTGTAAAACTAACCAATTGTAGAGGAAAGCCACATACCTGTCCATGCTAACCTAGACCATAATTCATAAGTACGGGAAATGTAATTAAAGATTAACAGTATTTTGAGGAAACATATTGAATTATACAACATAGACTAGTAGATAAGCAAAGTCCTCTATAAATCAAATCCTAATTCCACCACCCAAATTGTCTTAAGGAAATCACATAACTTCTATATGCCTTAGTTTTCCAATTTGTAAAATGGGGCTAGTCACTGTATCTACATCATAAGAAATATATGGTATATTTTACTTAGAAGGCTGCCCATAAAATAATAATTGTTTAAAAACATTAACTTATATTACTTTGTTCTATGGTTAGTTATATTTATAAAACAATAAGATATTTTCAATTCAAGCTAAGAATATCTATACTTACGGAACATATATAAAGGTTAGAAACATTGTTGATTCAAGAATCCTATATAATAAAAGGCTAATATGCAACTTGTCCCCACAAGAAAGAGTCCGACAACCAGGAGTTAGACATGCCCAGACCACCAAGGGATGACACAGAACGTGGTGGGTTTTGACAATGTGGTGCTGGCAGCAGGTGGCAGTGGAGGCCCCTGGTGTGCTCCAAGGAGAGTGGGACCATGGCTTGATGGTGTAACAGGTGAGCAGGCAGTGCCAGGCCAAGGCTGGTGCAAGCAAGGGTCCCGATTGCCCCACTGGCTGCCCCAAAGACAGCAACTGGCAGTGGCGGGGGGATGGCAGGGGGCTGGGGCCTGCAATTAGATGGCACCAACCCAAGGTAGGTGCATGTGGGGACCCTGGTCACCCCACTGGTCGCTCCACAGATTGGACCTGATCACTGGCCAGGCCTAGGGACCCTACCTGTGCAAGAACTTCATGCACCAGGCCTCTAGTGATATATAATTTTATAAAATGGAGGGTGGAGAGAAGAAAAGAGGAGGAAGTAGTACAAGTGTAAAATTTGCCTCATTCTTCAGATAGTCAACAGCTGTTGTCTAAACTTGAAAAAGGTGCACCATTATCATTTTAAGTAGTACAAGCAACAATTACAAGAATAATGTAATCATTTAAAAATAGTATTAGTTTAAAATAGTAATAAAATTATTTAAAATAATAATCAAATTAGGAAATAGATAGAGAAGAAAGGTAACATTTGTGGGTTTTGTAGACTCTGAGAAAAAAAGATTCATCTGATATGAACCCCAAGAAGAAATCTATCTGCTGAGATGGACTCCCCATGGTCAACCTAAATCCCAAATGGTATAAATAATGATTCTAGCAAACAATTACTGACAGGGGCTTCTCATACTGAACTCTCAGCTTCCCCAGTATGGCCAAATTTTTTCACCATATTCAACACTACAGGGAATCCCTAGTTTTGTCTTTCTACCAAGGACTGAGACCTGCCTTGTCCAAGCAGAACTGCACAATTTGTATTTGCCATTTATATAAAACAGATCTAATTGAGAAGCTATGTGGAAACTTGTGCTATAAAAGGTAGAGCCCCCCACCTTTGTCTTAGTGGAGCACAATTTAGGTTGCTACCTTAATCTGTGTCTCCAGAATTAGAGCTCCTTTTGCTCAAATAAACGCTCTTTATTACAATCTAAAATTGCTATTAGAAAAAAAAATACTACTGGTTTGCAGCTTTGTATTAAAGAGGAAATACATATACTGTCAGATATCAACTAATTAGGAAATAAAATTACATAATTATGACCATCAGACAGAATAAAAGCTAGGGGCAACTTCTAGGAAGTAAAATGTAATGGGGTAGGGTTAGGGTCATGAAGACACATTTTGCTTGATTTTTTCCTTTACCCCAGTCTCTACTATCTGACTTACTTTTTTTTGCTGTACATATTTTATTTTATGGGATTGTTCTTTTGCTTGATTTTTTTCCTTTATCCCACTCTCTACTATCTGACTTACTTTTTAAAAAATATATATATAATTTATTGATTTTACACAGAGAGAAATTGAGAGGGATAGAGAGTTAGAAACGTCGATGAGAGAAACATCGACCAGCTGCCTCTTGCACACCCCCCACTGGGGCTGTGCCCGCAACCAAGGTACATGCCCTTGACCAGAATCGAACCCGGGACCTTTCAGTCCTCAGGCCGACGCTCTATCCATTGAGCCAAACCGGTTTCGGTTATCTGACTTACTTTTATTTTGTTGAATATATTTTGTTTTATGGAATTGTTCTTTTATTTTTTCCTTTTTTAATTTTTCAATTGCAGTTGACATTCAATATTATTTTATACTAGAGGCCCAGTGTACAAAATTTGTGCACAGGGAGGGAGTTTCTCAGCCCAGCTGTACCCTCTCACAATCCAGAACTGTTGGTTCCTAACTGCTTGCCTG